CAGAGTCCTGAAGAAGAATCCACTGAAAAACCTGAGAATCATGTTGAAGCTAAACCCATATGCAAAGACCATGCACCGGAACACCATTCTTCTCTAGGCCAAGAACCACAAGCTTCAGGTAGATAAAGCAGCAGCAGCACTAGAAGCCAAATCAGATGAGAAGGGGGTTCCAGGCCAGAAGCCTGTGGTCGGGAAGAAAGGAAAGAAGGCTGTTGGCCTTAAGAAGCAGAAGAAGCCTTTGGTGGGGAAAAAGGCTGCAGCTACCAAGAAACCAGCAGCTGAGAAGAAGCCCACAGAAAAGAAACCCACCACAGAAGAAAAGAAACCTGTGGCATAAACTTAAATTTGTTTATTCCATAACGGTCAAATCACTTCGGACAGCTAATTTTGAATAAAACTATGAACAAAGACAAAAAAAAATGAGAAATAAATGCTCAATAAATGTTTGTTAAATATAATTGGTCAGAGTAAATGGAAATTAAAATATCTTCTATGACCCTAGACAGTGTGACTCTGTTCATTGGAGTGTTGTTCTATGTACCTTAAGGCTGTGGGTTCGATTCCTGATCAGGGCACAAGTCTAGTTTGTGGGTTCGTTCCCCTGTGAGGGTGCATATGGAGGAGGAGGAGGAGACAATTGATCAATGTTTTTCTCCTACATCAATATTTCTCTCTCTCTCTCTCTCTCTCTCTCTCTCTCTCTCTCCCTTCCTCTCTCTCTAAAATCAGTAAAACTTATGCTTGGGTGAGGATTACAAAATAAAATAAAATACCCTCTATGTTTGTAGCATCTTTAAAACTTGTTAAAGCTCTGTTGTATTTCATTTGATGCCCACAGTTTCCTTGTAAACAAAGGATATATTAGCTTTAGTAACCTTGTTTGACAGATGAGAAACTTGAGGCACAGAGATTATAAGTGACTTGATCCAAATAACACATCTTGTTGGGAATGTAAATTGATACAGATTTTATGTAAAGCAATTTCAACATGCATATATCCTTCCTCCCTCCCTTCCTTCTTTCCTTCCTTTTTCTGCCTATCTATCATCTTTAAAATATTACTTTTGACTCAGTGAGTCTACTAATAGAAATCTACAATAAAGAAGTAATTTGAAATAGAGTAGTTTTGTGGAGAAATACTCATCACAATGTTACTTATAATAGTGAAAATATGGAGGCAGCTTAAAATGCCCAATAAAAAGGAAGTAGTTAATACATGATTTAGGTATATAATAAAATATTTTAGTTTTAATATTTTTATGTATTTATTTTCAGATTATTTTCTGTTCATATTTTTGTATGGTTAAAATAGTAAATCAGTGTTGTACTGGAATAGAATAGAGATATTGACCAATGGAATAGAATTGAGAGTCTAGAAATATACCCTAATATTTATGGTTAATTTATTTTTGACAAAAAAGCTGTGACAATTCACTGGGTAAAGAATATTATTTTCAACAAATAATTCTGAAACAACTGGATATGCACATATAAAAGAATGAATTTAGACCCCTACATTATACCATACACAAAAATGACTCATAAGGAATCATAGACTTAAATGTAAGAGATAAAAGTATAACACTCTTATAAGAATACATAGGAGTAAATTTTCATGATTTGGGATAGGCAATATTTTCTTAGATTTGACATCAGGAACCTCAGCCATAAAAAAAAAAAGACAACCCATAGACTGAAAGAAAATATTTGCAAAATTATATACAGGGTGGGGCAAAAGTAGGTTTACAGTTGTTAATATGGAAAATAATATAATAATTAATAAATAATAATACAAGAATTAACTGTGCTTCACATGCTCACAACTGTTAACCTACTTTTGCCCCACCCTGTATATGACCAGGGACTTTCCACAGAACATATAAAGACTCTTAAAATTAAAAAGTCATATCTACACAAAATTTTGCACATGAATATTCATAAAAGTATTATTAAAAATAGCCAAGAAATGAAAATAAGCCAATGCCCATTGACTGATGAATGGATAAACAAACTAGTATACTCATTCAATGGGATATTATGCAGTTATAAAAGGAATCAATTACTGATGATGAAAATGTTCTAAAATTAGATTATGGTGATGCTTACACAACTGTGTAAATATACCAAAAACTTGTATACTTAAATGGATGAACTTTATGGTATATAAATTATATTTCATCAAAGGAGTGTAAAATAGCATCATGCATTTTCTAGAAATGTTATATTCAATTATCAATATATTGTTAATATATTTTATGCTATATTTCTACAACATTTAAAATGTCTTTATTTCCTACTAATTATAGAAGTTACACATGTTCTTTGGACAAAAATCTCAAAAAATATAAAAATGTCTAACATAGAAAATAAAAGTTTTCATATAATCTTATTTTTTCAGAATTCTATTAATAGTTAATACAACAGTATATTTAAGGCTACTTAATATTCTGTTGTATGGTTGTACTATAATTTACTCAATTAATTCCATATTACTTTTTATTTAAATAAATTGGAAACAATCTAATAAATCCACCTGCTTTGAATATCTTTGTGTAAACATTGTGGTGCAATTGCCCAATTATCTTGTTAGAATAAATTCCTGCAAGTTATTTGATGGTTAAAATGTATGTATACTTGTAATGTTTTAAAATTATATACTGCTAAATTTTATCCAAATTTTTTTTACTAATTTGTACTCTGATCAACAGTGTTTACAGTGTTTCTGTTCTCTTTTAACTTTTTACAACCCTGGTTATTATTATTTTTCCTTTAAACATCTTTGCTAGTTTGGTTAGGTGAAATAGTGCCCTGTTTTAATTTAAAATTACTTTTAAAGTATATTCTTATTGATTTAAGAGAGGAAGGGAGAGGGAGAGATAGAAACATCAATGATGAGAGAGAATCATTGATCAGCTGCCCCCCGCTGGGGATCAAGTGACCTAGGCATATGCCCTGACCATGACCTCCTGGTTCATAGGTTGACAATCACTGAGCCACGCTGGGTTAAAATTTATTATTATTATTATTATTATTATTATTTTAAATATATTTTATTGACTTTTTACAGAGAGGAAGGGAGAGGGAGAGGGAGTGGGATAGAGTACTGGAAACATTGATGAGAGAGAAACATCGATCAGCTGCCTCCTGCATACTCCCTACTGGGGATGTGCCTGCAACCAAGGTACATGCCTTTGACTGGAATTGAACCTGGGACCCTTCAGTTCACAGGCCGACACTCTATCCACTGAGCCAAACCGGTTAGGGCCTAAAATTATTTTTGATTAATAGTTCAGTTGAACACATTTTTCATGGACGTTTGGCCATTTGTATTTCTTTATGAATTTCCTATTTAAGTCCTTTGCTCATTTAAAAATAGAAGTGTTATCTTTTTCTTGATGACCATATTCAATAGAATAATATGAAGCCAATAAAAATGTTTTATGAAGAATTTTTAGTGCTTATTTTCAATGTTAAGTGAAAAAATACAAGCTAGACTATTGTATCGATCCTATCAGCTCAATTAAATAAAATACATTTTGCATTGGGAAATACTAAAAAATGAAGAGTAATCATCTCTAGATGGGAGGTTTAGATAGTTTTTCTTTTCTTTAAATTGTGTATTTTCCCTGTTTTCTAAGGTGAGCATATATTACCTGTATAAAAAAGCAAAAAAAAAATTTTCTTTCAAAGCACAGAGCTAGTTTGTGTTTGAAGCAGGACCATCCCCCCATGCTCTGCCCATTTGGCTTTTGCATCTAGGAAGCTGCGGTCAGAGGTAGAAGGAGAAACAAGGAAAGGCAAGGAGAGCAAAGGATATTAAGAACTTTGTAGGAGAAAAAACTTATTCTTAGGAGATGCATGCTGAAGAACTTAGGGTTCAAGTATAATAACATTTGCAACTTAGGAAATGTATACTGAAATATTTAGAGTGGCACCATACCTGGAGAGAGAGGAGTGCAGGGGAGAGGGAGAAAGGGGAAAATAGAGAGTGAGGGAGAGTGAAGGAGGGATAACAAAGGAAATGTGGTGAAATGTTAAAGGATGAAGCTAAGTGAAGGGTATGGTGGCTGCTTGTTGCAGTATTCAATCAACTTTTTATAGCTTTAAAAAGTTTCAAAATAAAGAAGTCAGGGAAATTATGGAAAAAAAAGGAGTAATCACCTTGCAAATGTTCTGGAGAAATGAATTAGAATGAGCTCTAAGAAGAGGCGGTTGAGTCTATGTAATAGGAGAACAATGGAAATATTAAAGAAGTAATTATTTCAGAAGGGCCAGGTGGGGAGAGAGGTAACATCAGATTGCAAAGTCGGTTGGCAAGTGAATAGGAGGTGAGGCAGTCCAGTCAATAGTGAGACTGCAATTCTGAGAATGTGAGCAATAGAAAAAAAGAGAAATGGGAAACTGTCTTGAGAAGCAATAGAATTTTGAAAAACTTATTACTTTTCACCTCATTATGGATTCCTATTAATATAAAATTAGTATTTTACCTTCTATCTCCCCTCCACACATATGCCTTTCCTGATGTATAAATGATGAATTAGAAAACCAATAAAACGAATAAAAGAATAATATGCACAATGCTACCATCTAGTGTATCTACTGAAAATTACACCTAGCTTTGCTGTCAATTCAGGTGACTTCTCAGAGACTAGTTTAGGGCCTTAAGGTTTATGTGTGTGTGATACTTTGTGTAAGCTATGTAGGAGGTGAGTGATATTCTTGGTGCAGCCCAGTGTTTTGGGGTCTAATACTTTGATTCCTGAGTTAAATATTTAAAATTGCCATGCAGTCCTAAAATTTGATTTCAAACTAGGAGAGACATTTTACCTCAATAGTGCTTTGGAAATGAAATGGAAACATTTAAAAGGATAAGGGGAGGTCAAAGGCAACCTTAAGTACAAGAGTTAAGGGATTATTGTATTTAACTGGGAGAAAGGTGAAGTTACTCTTGAAGTTTCTTTATCACTTTAGAAAACTTCATCAATCTTTGTAGTTAGTCTGAAGTCAAGTGTTACTGGATAATGGTGAAGGTGCACATGTGGGAATTCATGCTTGAGTAATGGTAGACAGAGTAATTTAAGGTAGGCAGGAGCTGGCTCTTGATGGGTGTATAGCATTTCAACAGTCAAAAGATGGGGTGGACAGCAAAAGTTCCAGGCAGAGGGAACATTGAGAACAAAGGCAGAAAAGCACAGGATACCTTTGGAGAAATGGAATCAGTTCCCTTATGTTTAGAGTATTAAATGCATTAGAAGTGGGGGGCAATGGGGGGGATAAGGACACATATGTAATACCTTAATCAATAAAGAAAAAAATTCATTAGAGGAAAGAGTGGGAGAGAAGGTGATAAAAGTATATTGGCACCTATATGCCTCTCTTCTCTTCCCCCAACAGAGGATTTACTCTTGATAATAGGTAGGGCTTGTCTTTTGTTCCTAAGGGCTTAACACTTGAGTGGGTACACAGTAGGGGTTTAATATATTTTGGTCAATTAAACCATTAGCTAATATTGTTGTGCATTTATATCTACTAAGATAAGAGTTTGGCCACGAGAACTACAAATGAGGGTGGATGCTGGGATTTAGCTACTAGAGGCATAATTCTTGTGCTTGAAATCAGGCAAGCTAACTGACCAGCTAACATCCAGAGCAACACTTCTTAGACTTTAATACAAATCTTGTTAACATGCAAATTCTGATTCCATACAGCTAGCTGTGGAGAGACCAGTGAGTCTGCATTTCTAATAAGCTTCAAAATGATGCCTAGGTTGCTAGTGTGGAGACCAAACATAGAGCCCCAAGGATCTAAAGGTCCTTCCCAGCCCCCACTCCTTGACCTTTACAGACTCCAGACTCAGTGATTGGACATAACTAAGTATAGCTTATGGAGAAGCTGAAATTTAAAGTATCTCATGAAGATTTTTCTGCTACTAGAATTGTTGAGGTACATTTGGACTGATGGCATCCCACCTGTGTCATCTAAAAATTTTTATTCTTAGATGAGTATGGTTCTATCTGGTTGGAATAAGAGTGTAATGTAGTCTATTTTAAAATAGGGCAAGACTTTACTCTCCAAATATAGTCTTGTCTATTGATCGAACATCCTTTCTGTCTAAATTCCATGTCTGTTTCCTCCTTAGAATTATAAACCTGTGTTTCTCAGGCTAATGGCTCACACAAGGGGCAGTCAAACTCTAGTCACTGGTATTTTGAAAATGATTATTATTATATGAAAAAATATAACTGTGAGAATCAGGATTGGTAAGGAATAGTCTCCATGATGAAAATTAAAGTGATGGTAAATTGTTGCATATATTAATTGGCTTTTAACTAATTACACAATACCATCTGGCTACATTTTAGCATCACTATAGGGAGAAAGGCTAGGGTGCTGACTACATGATTATAGTCTTATCAAGACAGATGCCAATCTTTAAAGAAACATCAGAAGTTTGCTTTTCTTTTTTCCTCCAAGACTAGATAGACAGATAGATGACAATAGGTAGGTAGATAGATAGATAGATAGATAGTAAACATAGGCCCAATGATGAGATATTCACACAGCCTGAAGTCTGGAGGCAAAGAGAGGCTTGACCATTCACCTGAAACCTGGCCTTTTATCTTCTCTCAGTGTTTGAAACACCCATCTGCTCAGATTCTCAATGCAGCTTTTCAAGTCCCCTCATCTGTCTAGCTTTAGCCTCTGGGAATAGAAAGATCTGTTTAGCAACATTGACCACTTTCATGTATAGCTGATAGAAGAGGTTTTCTGCAGAGAAATATATATATACTGAGCTCCCAGAACTTTTTTCAAATCCAAAGAAAAGTATGGGGCTGTAAAAACCAAACACCAAATTTACTGTAAAAAAAACTGGGCGCATAAGAGTGACCTGAGGTCAGCTAACAATAGATGCGATAAAATAACGAAGGGGTATTGAGTATAGTGTAAAGAAACTTGAATTTGAATGGTACCTATCCCATGTACTAACTATAATGAAGGGGAAAATAAGACATTTGGGGGCCTAGCTATCTGAATCTGTGCCAGTAACCTGCATTCTGCCTTCTGACGCACACTCTTGCTTTCGGTTAAACTCCATTCGTATCAAACTCTATTATCTGTGAGGCCTGTCCTGCCTTGCAGAACCTGTTTCCCAGAATACTCCCATTTTACAGAGGCCATGAACCATGAACCATATACAATCTCTGGAGGGACTGGCGCCAATGCTGACAGGCCTCTGGGTGTGGTCTCACTTCTCCCATCCCAACTCACGGGGTGCTGCAAAGCCCATGAAGGGTCCAGGAGTCTGATCCATATTTAGAGGACAAAGGAACTAAAGGTTATAAAGGGAAAGCTTCATCCATATTCATCACTCAGGATTTGGAGACTGACTCCCCTGAGTCACGGCACTAGTGCAATCTGCTATAAAGGCTACTTTTCTGAATATCCTCTGAGTGCCCGGCTGATTAACTCCCCTGCGCCACCTGGAAGCTTATCTGCAACCTGAGGATTCCAAGTGAATGTTAACCCTCCTTCTCTCTTCTCTCCCTTCCTTTTATCTTTCTTTGCTTCCAGATACACGTTTAAAAATTGCAAAAGAACTACCACGTTGCAAAAAAATTAAATATTACAAGTAGTGAAGGCTCACATCCCCCCTTTTTAATTACAATATGCTTAGTTAATATCTACCATCTCACCTAGTTAATTTTTTTCTGTTGTGGTAAGCACTTTTAAGATCTACTCTCTTAGCAGCTTTCAAATATACAATACAATGTTGTTAACTGTAGTCACCATGTTGTACACTACATCCCCAAAACTTAATTATCTTTTAACTGGAAGTTTGTACCTTTTGACCACCTTCATCTATTTCCTCTACCCCCACCCCCATTTGGCAACCACCAATCTAGTCTCTATTTAATCCCACTCTCCAGAGGTTAACAATTGTTAATAGATTGGTATAAATTCAGACTTTTAAAAATCTTTATTGTTGAAAGTATTTCAGTGATGGCGAACCTTTTGAGCTCAGTGTGTCAGCATTTTGAAAAACCCTAACTTAACTCTGGTGCCGTGTCACATATAGAAATTTTTTGATATTTGCAATCATAGTAAAACAAAGACATATTTTTGATATTTATTTCATATATTTAAATGCCATTTAACAAAGAAAAATCAACCAAAAAATGAGTTCGCGTGTCACCTCTGACACGCGTGTCATAGGTTCGCCATCACTGACGTAGGTCCTCCTTTTTCCCCCATTAACCTCTTCCAGCCCGCTCCCATCCCCGCCCCCCCCTTACCATCCCATTGTCTATATCCACGGGATGAGTGTATAAAAACGAACTATGGTACATTTACGCAATGGACTATTATGCAGCAATAAATTCAGACTTTTAATAAACATATATAAGTATATACA